TCATGTTTATGGTATAAACTTCGTCGGCTTGGCGTCAATGGTAGATTTCTTCATGCTGTACAAGCAATGTATGATATCACCTGGTCACGTGTAAGGATAAATAATTGCTTAACAGATCCGTTTCCAGTAACTTCTAGAGTCAGGCAAGGATGAGTGTTATCTCAGACATTGTTTTCGGTATTTATTAACGATCTCGCAGAGGAAATTAATAAACATAAATGTGGTATTTAGGTAGACGATAATATGTTAAGTATTTTACTGTACGCTTCGACGTAGCTTTGATTGCTCCAGACGAAATTTCCTTACAGCGTATGTTAGACTGTGTCTCTCGCTGGGCAGCACAATGGCGTTTAAAAGTAAATGTGAAAAAAACCTAAGGTTGTTCATTTCATACCCCCATCTGATAAAAGGTCGAATTTTTTCTTTACTATCGGCTCTTCTCACTTTGACATTATTAACGCCTATAAATATTTAGGATTTTGGCTTCATGAGCATTTGGATTTTAATTATTCTGTTAAGAAAATTGGCAAAATCAGCAAATAGAGCTCTTGGTGTTCTTATCTGTAAATTTAAGTTAGCGGGTGGTATGTCTTTTTCAATTTTTAATAAGCTGTATGACACGCTTGTTCAGTCTATACTTTCGTACGGTTCGGCTATCTCGGGCCTCAAGCAATTCAGCTGTATTAATTCTGTTCACAACAGAGCTGCTCGTTTCTTCCTTGCGGTTAATAACAAAACTCCAAATCTATCTGTCCGTGGCGATTTGGGATGGACAAAAGCCCACTTACAAAACAGCATATTGAACTTTTTCGTTTTTGGCGGCGAATTCAAGCGGTCGATACCAATAGACTTCGTTGTTGGATTAGTAAATGGTTCCCACAATTCCGTAAATCCTGGGTAAACAATGTTTTGGATGTGCTTAATAGTTTAGAACTAACTGTCTCTGACGGTCTGCATTTAACCCAATTCGATTTTACCCCTAAAAAATATAAGCTATTAGCGTTAGATGAGCATAATTGATATTCAGAATTGTGGAATGATAGAGGTTTACAAAATGGAAATAAGCTTCGTACTTATCGATTGTTCAAACACTCGTTGTCTGCTGAACCCTATGTTACATATATTATGAACAGGTCTCATCGTAATATCCTTAGCAAGTTACGCTGCGGCACATTACCCTTACAAGTTGAAATTGGTAGATTTGCTAAACCTATCACATAGAATTTGTAAATTATGTAATGATAAAGCTGTAGAAGATGAGATACATGAGAATTATAAAGTCTGATCCTACATTTATTTCATTCTCTCCTGTGGAACAGACAGTGTTCTTAATGAACAGTAACACGTATATAAAACCTCTTGCCGCACTTATTTGAAATTTTTTTGAAACATTTCCTCACTTAAAATTGTAATCCATTTTTATCGGGTTTTCCAATCCTATAAGTTACAATTCTTTTATATAAATAATGTTTTTCATTGTCCATTGTGTCTCATCGGCCTTTTATGGCCTGATGTTGTATGTATTTTATGCAAGTTCTTCTTCTTCTGTTAACTGTACGGTTAACAATTGTGGGTTCTGATGTGAGCTATGCAGTTATCCACCACCTATGTACGTCGACAATGAGTCAGACACACCCACACACACATGGGTACAATGTGTGAAGCCTATTTCTAGTGTTCCCCACCGTGATGTTGCTGGATTATTATTTGAAGCGACGTAAAACCAATCTCACTCACTCACAACGTTGTTTACATATACTTGTAGATTTGCCTAAGACAAGAGACACAATTCAAATTGATCATACATCGAATGTCAAAAAGAATGTTTACGGACAACAGTATGACACACTGTAGCATCAGCTGTTGTTGAGAAGTCTGAACAATTTTGCCGGTGCGAATGGTGCAGCTGTGACTAGGATGTATACACGCTGCACTCAAGTAGAGAGTCGAACCAAATCTTCGGTGTGGCAAGCGAACCCTGTCACCACTAGGCTACCCTATGGCCCCTTCGACGAGGGCAAGAAATTTATACAATTGAACATATAGTACTCGTAGTTTGCTAAGGATCAAGTTTTGGTGATCCACCAAATGCCGACGATAAGCATTTAGGTCATTTCTCATACCACTTCAATAAATAGGGATTATAATAGACTTTGACCATTCCTCTGGAAATTTCCGCCGATTCAAAACTAAGTAAAAAGTACTAATACAATATCGTTACTTTCTTCTCGGAATTCTGCTGAAGTTCATCTGCTCCTGAAGCTTTGTTTCTCTTCAGAGACTGTCTTGCATCTATTATTTCTCCTCTTGATATTTCAGTGTTGAGGATATGATATGTTATATCATCCTCAAAATAAACACCGAGGATGTCTGGACTGTGAGAAATGCCACTGGAATGTTTGTTCGAATACTGAAACAGGCACTGTTCGATAGATATATTGTTCTTTCCTTATGATTGATTTGGTCCGCCGAATAATTTCCAAAAGGTTCTTCTATCATCTAAGTCAGGTGTACTGCTGCATATATAGTCATTAAGCTTTAGCTGAAAGTCTTTATCCCGAATCCAAGTTTCTATCAAAAATATAATAGATTTTTTTATAGAAATAATCCATGACCTCATGTGACCCTAGTTTTGATTTTATTCCCGCGAAATTTCACACACCTATGCTTATTGTTCTTTCACACGAACGAAATGATGGGTCTTGGTCATCCCCAAGTCAGCTGCAGACTTATTCCGTTCTCTTATAGTAAGAAACTTCCCTTCCTCTCGTGCTTTGTTAATGCCTCTTTGTCAGATCTGTTGCGACTTTGACACCAATGTCTTTTAAACCTTGTCTGGCCCGCAGCACACATTCCCTATCTTGGGTATGGAGGAATTTCATTGTCACTGTTTTTTGTCATGATGCATCTTCAAAGATTTTGCCCACGCGATGCGCACGTAATATATCACGTTCGTTCCATTCCTTGTTTTGTCTGACGTAGTCATTCCATGATCTTCTGTCTGCATGTCTGCGAAGATTCATTTACCTCCTCCGTCAACACTCCCCAAACTGTAACAAAATGTCCTTCCTAGAATACGACCCTAATGCATCGATTTCTTTCTTTCATTGTTGTTTAACGCCGCACTCAGCAATATTCCAGCTGTATGACAGCGGTCTGTAAATGATCGAATCTGGACCAGGCAATCTAGTGATTGACATCATGAGCATCGATCCGCGCAATTGGGACCACACGCACGGCAACTTGTGAGCTAGGAGGAATAACGAATTATCTGTCCCGAGAGAATTAATTAATTAATAAGTTCCGGGTCTTGGAAAGTAACTTCCAACATTACTTCACGGGGGATAATTGATATGTTCTGATAACCCAGACACTAGAACGTTGTTCCCTTTCGCTTTAGATAAAGTATTTTTGAAATCTGCCACCCAAAGATCTAAGTAAATGATATATACTACACATGTGTGTGTCGAAACATCACTCCTTGTGATCAATGATCAAAGTGGGTCAAGCGGAAACAGCCAAGTGAGTCGGTTTAAGTTCATTCACTACAACATCGAACCCGGATAAAATTTTCAGCGAGGGGGTGCATGGTTTCAGTGACGTGCTGCACGGTTTCGGTGAATTACTGCCTGGTTTCAGTGAAGTTTCCTCTCTCATCAAGGTGACACACCATGAAATACTGTTCAGACCAGAATCAGTCACTAAACGCACACAGGACAGATAATGTAAAGATAAAATGGTTTAATCGCATATTTATGACTCAGTTCTAATTCTTTATTCATTTATTCATTCCATTTGTAGGCCTACGGTCCATGGTACAATTGAGGGTCGACATGCGTATGAAAAAAAATCGGAATCGCAATTAAGCCGGTTTCCGGCAGGGTTATTTGGTAATGGATAATGTTTTCATATTACAGTCTGTTGCTGGTCGTCTCTTGGGGAAACAGAAAGGCAAATTGTATGTTTTATTTGTGGATTTTGCTAAGGCTTTCGATTTAGTTAATCGTTCTAAATTATGGTAAGTCCTACAACACAACACAAGGGAGTTTCGTCAAAAAAATGTTTGGTTGTATCAAGTCTATTCATGAAAGTGTGAAATCGTACGTTAAATTAGTAAATAGTTTCAGATTTGTTTGAGTGTAACGTGGGCGTTCGTTGGGGATGTGTCTTAAGCCCCTTGTTATTTTCATTGTTTATTAATGATCTTATTGATGAGGTAGAAAAAGGTCATGCTATCCTGGCATCAAATTCAGTTGTATCCAGCCTTGACTCATTTATTCTTACTTTTGTTTGCGGATGACGTTGTTCTTTTATCAGATACTATTGGAGGTTTACAAAAACGAATTAACGCGTTACAACAGTATTGTCATCAATATGACCTAAACGCAAATCTAGATAAAACTAAACTTGTTGTTTTTAAGAATGGTGGTTTTCTTTCTAGGCAGAGAAATGGTATTTTGAGGGCATGTGCATTGAATGTCTTTCATCTTACAAGTATTTGGGTATAATATTTTCTTGTAAGTTAACCTGGAATATACACTTCATGAATTCTTCGTTGCAATCTAGAAAGGCATTATTTGGTATCTTAAAATACCTTTCGAAACTTAGACCTTTAACGTATGATGTTTTCTGCAAAGTTTTAGATAGTAAAATTATGTCAATGTTATTGTATGGTGCTGAAATATGGGGACTAGAATTTGATTTAGATTGTAAGGTTAGCAGAGTTATTGAAGGCGTTCATGTCCAGGCATGCAAATATTTTCTGGGTGTGAAGTCGTCAACTCCAAATTATGTTGTACGTGGTGAGTATCGGAGATACCCTGTATATGTCTATGCCTACAAGCGGTGTATAAAATATTGGTATAAATTAATATCCATGCCAGACTCGCGACTACTAAAGAAATGCTCTAATATGATATTGTTAGATATGAGTCATGATAAAAGCAATTGGGCTTCAAAGTTAAGAAATTTGGCTATGTTTGGGATAATCAAAGCATCGGTAGTATTCAATCATTTTTATTAGAATTTATGATAAGAGCAAAATGTATTTATCAGCAAGACCGGCATGCATCCTTGTCACCTGGTGCAAAAACATTCAATTGTTCTATGTATAAACCTATAGTGTGTCAAGAGTATTATATTAAGTATATTTCTATCCATAAGTTTCGTATAGCTTTAGAAAAGTTCAGATGTAGCTCTCACCAACTGAAAATTGAGACTTGCAGATATGCAAATGTTCCAAGAAATGAAAGGTTTTGCAACATTTGTTAAAACGGTTTCGTTGAGGATGAGCATCATTTCTTGTTTGTATGCACGGTGTATGCCGAATTGCGTGAACAGTACATTCCAAGAAACTACAATGTATGTCCCACATTACATAAATTCAATGTCTTGATTTCAAATGATAAATGTAATTTCATAAGAAATTTGGCTATGTATATTCATAAGTCTATGCAACAAAATAACAAAACTGCTGATGTAAATTTCAATTACAATAATGGCTGATGTACAACTGCTGTGACATGGGCCGATGGCATACGGAACCTTGCTGAATAAACATAATAAAGACAGAAGACAGTACGACCAAACAGTAAGTCAATGCTTGATGTACAAACATGGCTGTATTTCTAATTTTTCTCGGTTTGACATTAGAATATTAAAATTTAGATAACGTGGGATGGACAAGAAACTCTTCTGGACAAATTAACAAGAAGTGATATTCGTCCCCCACATAGGCCATGGAACATGTCTTTCAAAAACCTCTGGTCTCTGGGAGTAGTATTGTATCTACCTGTTTCCACAGGTAAAGCATGGGAGCTACAGCGGAATCGAGCCATTGTCGATCCAAATTTATCAAAATTGGCAAGTGATAGATAATATTCCACAGTGAAGGTAGATTTAAAAAGAGCATAATGTTGCATCTTTGAGCTTCCAACATTGGCTGAGTGTGCTAGTCCTGTTCATAAGCCGATTCCAAACGTCTTACAAATTCAGATATAAACAGTTTAGACAAATCGGCACCCTGACTCCTCAACAACAAATGAAAAGATATAAGTATATAAAACATAAAAAAAAGAAAATAGGACTTTCTAACTCACCCACCCCATCCCTCAATGTCCAACTATTGCTTAAATATGCATCACATGCCACATGCCGGCACACACTCACACTTTCTCATGCTGAGTCACCATATGCCATGTGCCCGCAGATGTGTAAGGTAGTTAAACACAATCTGAGATTTGATCATGTTAATTCCGAACCCGTAGTGTGCCCCATCGTAGCTCATGATGCCGTCTGTCATGTTGAAGGTGTCCAGTATTGGTATCCCAGCTGCTCTGACATGGCTGTTGATGAAGGCGTTATATCTGACAACGCTGCTGTAACTCTGGCCTGGAACCCGTGGTGTTTTCAGTATTCCGGGAGCGTGGGGGGAAACCCACATCAGTTTCGGCCATGCTATCTTATTTCTTGCGTTTTCGTGTAGAAAGTTGATTGATGGAGAAAGAAAGTTCTTCCAGACCAGCTGTTCATTATAGGTCCCGTGGATACCAATGCCCACAAAGAAAATAGACTTCTGGTTCTTTTTACTTTTCAGTAAGCTGAGTAATCTTGGGCCTTGATCGTGTGTGATGAGTTGAACATGGATGACGTTGGTCTGGCCGCCACACACGGGAGCGGCGTAGTTTAAGTAGTAGTCGCACAGTAGCTGCATCCACCCTGAACAGTACTCCCGCCACCCTGAAATATACAGCGCATTATAATCAAAACCAGCAGTTGGGAAACACACAGCACACTAAAATTACAAACAACAGTGGGGGACAGCGCTCTAATATCACAAACAGCAGTGGGGGACGCAGCACACTATAATCACAAACAGCAGTGGGGACATACAGCACACTGTAGTGACAAACAACAGTGGGGATACACACAGCACACTATAATCATATATAGCAGTGGGGAAACACACAGCACACTATAATCACGTACAGCAGTGGGGAAACACACAGCACACTATAATCACGTACAGCAGTGGGGATACACACAGCACACTATAATCACATACAGCAGTGGGGATACACACAGCACACTATAATCACATACAGCAGTGGGGAAACACACAGCGCACTATAATCACACACAGCAGTGGGGATACAAACAGCACACTATAATCACATACAGCAGTGGGTAAACACACAGCGCATTGTAGTGACAAACAGCAGTGGGGAAACACACAGCACACTATAATCACAAACAGCAGTGGCGAAACACACAGCGCATTGTAGTGACAAACAGCAGTGGGGAAACACACAGCACACTATAATCACAAACAGCAGTGGGGAAACACACAGCACACTATAATCACATACAGCAGTGGGGAAACACACAGCGCATTGTAGTGACAAACAGCAGTGGGGAAACACACAACACACTATTATCACAAACAGAAGTGGGGAAACACAGCGCACTATAGTGACTAACAGCAGTGGGGAAACAGCGCACTATTATCACAAACAGAAGTGGGGAAACAGCACACAAAATGACACACAGCAGTGGGGAAACATACAACACACTATAATGAGAAACAGCAGTGGTGGAACACGCAGCACACTATAATCACAAACAGTAGTGGTGGAACACGCAGCACACTATAATCACATACAGCAGTGGGGATACAAACAGCACACTATAATCACATACAGCAGTGGGGAATCACACAGCGCATTGTAGTGACAAACAGCAGTGGGGAAACACACAGCACACTATAATCACATACAGCAGTTGGGATACAAACAGCACATTATAATCACATACAGCAGTGGGGAAACACACAGCACACTATAATCACATACAGCAGTGGGGAAACACACAGCACACTATAATCACATACAGCAGTGGGGAAACACACAGCGCATTGTAGTGACAAACAGCAGTGGGGAAACACACAGCACACTATAATCACATACAGCAGTGGGGAAACACACAGCACACTATAATCACATACAGCAGTGGGGAAACACACAGCACACTATAATCACAAACAGCAGTGGGGAAATACACAGCGCATTGTAGTGACAAACAGCAGTGGGGAAACACACAGTACACTATAATCACGTACAGCAGTGGGGAAACACACAGCACACTATAATCACAAACAGCAGTGGGTAAAACACACAGCACACTATAATCACATACAGCAGTGGGGAAACACACAGCACACTATAATCACATACAGCAGTGGGGAAACACACAGCGCATTGTAGTGACAAACAGCAGTGGGGAAACACACATCACACTATAATCACATACAGCAGTGGGGAAACACACAGCACACTATAATCACATACAGCAGTGGGGAAACACACAGTACCCTATAATCACGTACAGCAGTGGGGAAACACACAACACACTATAATCACAGACAGCAGTGGGGAAACACACAGCACACTATAATCACATACAGCAGTGGGGAAACACACAGCACACTATAATCACATACAGCAGTGGGGAAACACACAGCACACTATAATCACATACAGCAGTGGGGAAACACACAGCGCATTGTAGTGACAAACAGCAGTGGGGAAACACACAGAACACTATAATCACATACAGCAGTGGGGAAACACACAGCACACTATAATCACATACAGCAGTGGGGAAACACACAGCACACTATAATCACATACAGCAGTGGGGAAACACACAGCGCATTGTAGTGACAAACAGCAGTGGGGAAACACACAGTACACTATAATCACGTACAGCAGTGGGGAAACACACAGCACACTATAATCACAAACAGCAGTGGGGAAACACACAGCACACTATAATCACATACAGCAGTGGGGAAACACACAGCACACTATAATCACATACAGCAGTGGGGAAACACACAGCACACTATAATCACATACAGCAGTGGGGAAACACACAGCACACTATAATCACAAACAGCAGTGGGGAAACACACAGCGCATTGTAGTGACAAACAGCAGTGGGGAAACACACAGAACACTATAATCACATACAGCAGTGGGGAAACACACAGCACACTATAATCACATACAGCAGTGGGGAAACACACAGCACACTATAATCACATACAGCAGTGGGGAAACACACAGCGTATTGTAGTGACAAACAGCAGTGGGGAAACACACAGCACACTATAATCACGTACAGCAGTGGGGAAAAACACAGCACACTATAATCACAAACAGCAGTGGGGAACACACAGCACACTATAATCACATACAGCAGTGGGGAAACACACAACACACTATGATGACAAACAGCAGTGGGGAAACACACAGCGCATTGTAGTGACAAACAGCAGTGGGGAAACACACAGCACACTATAATCACGTACAGCAGTGGGGAAAAACACAGCACACTATAATCACAAACAGCAGTGGGGAACACACAGCACACTATAATCACATACAGCAGTGGGGAAACACACAGCACACTATAATGACAAACAGCAGTGGGGAAACACACAGCGCATTGTAGTGACAAACAGCAGTGGGGAAACACACAACACACTATTATCACAAACAGAAGTGGGGAAACACACAGCACACTATATTCACATACAGCAGTGGGGAAACACACAGCACACTATAATCACATACAGCAGTGGGGAAACACACAGCGCATTGTAGTGACAAACAGCAGTGGGGAAACACACAACACACTATTATCACAAACAGAAGTGGGGAAACACACAACACACTATAATCACATACAGCAGTGGGGAAACACACAGCGCATTGTAGTGACAAACAGCAGTGGGGAAACACACAGCACACTATAATCACGTACAGCAGTGGGGAAAAACACAGCACACTATAATCACAAACAGCAGTGGGGAACACACAGCACACTATAATCACATACAGCAGTGGGGAAACACACAGCACACTATAATGACAAACAGCAGTGGGGAAACACACAGCGCATTGTAGTGACAAACAGCAGTGGGGAAACACACAACACACTATTATCACAAACAGAAGTGGGGAAACACACAGCACACTATATTCACATACAGCAGTGGGGAAACACACAGCACACTATAATCACATACAGCAGTGGGGAAACACACAGCGCATTGTAGTGACAAACAGCAGTGGGGAAACACACAACACACTATTATCACAAACAGAAGTGGGGAAACACACAGCACACTATATTCACATACAGCAGTGGGGAAACACACAGCGCATTGTAGTGACAAACAGCAGTGGGGAAACACACAACACACTATTAGCACAAACAGAAGTGGGGAAACATGGCGCACTATTATCACAAACAGAAGTGGGGAAACAGCACACAAAATGACACACAGCAGTGGGGAAACATACAACACACTATAATGAGAAACAGCAGTGGTGGAACACGCAGCACACTATAATCACATACAGCAGTGGAGGAACACGCAGCACACTATAATCACATACAGCAGTGGGGAAACACACAGCACACTATAATCACAAACAGCAGTGGGGAAACAAAAGCGCACTAACATTTATAAAATTATACTCGGCCTCTGGGGATTTCCAAGCAGAGGGTAGTGGGTGGTTTATAGACAAAATTATTCACATTCAAGTTAATACAGCAGAGCATGTCCCTCTTTCTGCAAGCAGCTATGCTCCCCTTCCTGACAATCTTACCCATAAGAAAGCCATTCTTAACATGAAGAATGAAGATAATAAATGTTTGGTCTGTGTTATCAGTTCTACACCCTGTTAATAGACAAAACATTTCCACTGGGGGTAATTAAATACAATACATACATTTCGAATCTGAGCTCAAGGAATTGATATGCCTATCACTCTTGTAAAAAAATGTCTGTGAATGTGTTACACAAAAATACACAAAATCTAACAAAAGAAATCGATTTGCTTCTTATCAGTCAGGGGGGTGGTGGGGGTCGGGTGGCCTAGTGGTTAAAGCATTCACTCGTCACGCCGAAGACTCACATAATTTGCATAAAAAAGTGTGCGGTTGCAGCCTAACATCTTACAGCAGTGCCCTGTCATGTGGCGACGGCAAGTGATGGGACAGATATTGCGCATTTATTAATTTTGTTGAAACCAAAGACGATATCTGAACTTGAACTTCGTCTGCTGTGTAGAAGTGTAGAGATTCTGCTGCTTAAAAGTAAAGACAAAACGCACAAGAGATATGTTCCTTTCCTAAAAAGTGTATGTATGTTTCTTTGGAACCCGCGTCTTCGGCGTGACGAGCGAAGGCTTTAACCACTTGGCTAACCGACCACCCCTGTGTGTGTGTGTGTGTGTGTGTGTGTGTGTGTGTGTGTGTGTGTGTGTGTCTGTGTGTGTCTATGTGTGTGTGTGTGTGTGTGTGTGTGTGTGTGTGTGTGTGTGTGTGTGTGTGTGTGTGTGTGTGTGTGTGTGTGTGTGTGTGTGTGACAGCATACTTAATAAATGCTACTGGGCTTATGATACATCTCGGGGAGCCACCAGCAGTAACATAGGCCCAGTTCAGGTAATTGTATCATAGGCCAAAGTTATGGCAACCGAAACATGAATTCAAACGGTGTCCCAATGGAAATTGTTTTATTGACAAGGCGTGACAGCATTGGGGACATTTATATTACTAATTGGATAGAAGGGAAATCAGATACATTCAATGTAGTTGAAGTTGTACGGTCAGCTGAAATGAATTGTTTGGCATGGTTGTTATACACCAGTAGAATAGTTGTTGCATAGTTGCTTTACATAACGTTTGGGGTAGGCGACTAACGGGATCGAGTGGTCAGGCTCGCTGCCTTTGTTGATGCATGTCATCGTATCCCAGTTGAGTAGATTGATGTTCATGGTGTAAATATCTCGATTGTCTGGTCCAGACTCGATTTTTTACTGCCCGCCGTCATAAAGCTGGAGTACAGCGTTACCAACTAACTAAACAAACAAACCTTTTGGTGTTGTAGACTTTAAAATGGAGTCCTTATAGTTGTCAGTGAGGATTTGGACAGTAACTGTGTACATCTGCCTCAAGAACGAGTCCCCGATGTAGTAGATAGTAGCCCCTTTAATTAGTTCACACGCTTCATCTTTGTTCAACATTGAGATGTGACAATTGGGGTTGGATGGTTTCCAATCAGCAAGTTCAGCATTAATAGGCCTGCGCATGTCAAAACACCTCTCACACATACATTCCTTCACTGTCTTGTACACGCACTTGTTGTTATAGCAACATGGTGTTGGACCAAACGGATCACACAGGGGTCGGAACCACAGAGCCTGGTGTTGTAGGCCTTTCAGAAAGTCAAAAGTTGTATTTCCACAAACACCATCGGGGCGTGCCAAGGTTGTTGGTACGAAATACTTTCCTCTGGAAGCTATCAAGAATCTTTCAACTTTCTCTCTTTCTTCAAACGTCACGTTCCTCGGTGTCCACGTTCCTCGCACCATTTCGTCCAAATTGTTTTTGTACTCGGCATTTGAACCATTTGGATGGAGAGAAGAGTGATAAGTGAAGTTCGAATAGCCTGCGTCCAGGATGACCATGAACTGCTCAGGTTCCCAGGTAGTGAAGACAAGGAGTCCAGTCACCACAAACACAGCGGTGAGGAATAACACATGATTCCACTTCCGCATGACTTAAACACCAGTGATGCCAACCGTGTATGTGCCTTTATAGAAGATGGGTGGCTTAGTGGTGCAACCTTGATAACAGTTCAGTATGACAATCATCAGAAAATGTGTTGATATTAGGCGCACATAACCTGGCTATGTCCCTCGTTAATGTCCACAGTTAGTCCTTTTGTGAGTCACTGGAAGAGGGAATTTATAATGATACATTTTACAATATTATCCCCCATAAGCGATTTATATACAAATACAGCGGTATAATTATAAAATACGAAACGAGCTACCGCGTAATACCATTTTTATGAACCTCGCAAATCTTATACAAAACTGTTACTCGTTTCCTAAAAACCGTACTACACAGGAGGTTGTATAGTATTCTATATATACGCGTAATGAGTGATACTGTGCAAATAACAGTTCCTTTGAAGTAGGACCACATCACCTTTGTTCTACAAATAACACGAGGTGCCAATTCTATTGTCATCATGTTGACAAACTGCCTGATTGTTAATAATTGTCACTTTAGACTATCATATGATTGCTTTTCATAACATCGGCTCAGTTTCAATGATTTTCATTATATACTGTTCACTTTGATTGGTACTGAATTCTTGGCGGTTATTGGAAATTTAATACCTCTTTATTGTATAACAAAGATTATGTGGATCTTGTGGAAAAAAACATTTGTTGAAACAAAAGGGAACATGCAGATTTGGCACTTGATGAAAATAGTCTCAGAAATAGAAATGACTCTGAATTAAAACTGTCCATCAGTGATTCTCTATTTTTGGAAACCCTCCTTATGAAAATAAGGGGAAAATCCATTTCATTCTCATCTTTTCTGAAAAAAAATTAAAAAAGCGAAAGCACTAAACAAAATGGATTTTTTTTTTAGAATTAGAAGAAACGATAAGAAATGACTTTCAGTCAGTAAGTGAGCGAAGCTTCTCTGATTTATCAAAGTATAAGGAAGAATTAGAATAATTAAAGGAAGATGAAGAGAGGGGAAGGCATTTAAGAAATAGGATTCAATGGTATGACGAAGGGGAACACCGTCTAAGTATTGTTGTCACATGGAAAACAGAACTTACCCAAAAAAAACTATTAATAATTTAATAAATGCTAATGGTGAAGTCATCACTGAAGGTGACGAAATACTGTCTGAACAGAAAGAATTTTATAAATACCTATCCTCATCTAGAAGTTCTGAAAGGGAACATACTTTTGAAATCAGACAAGTTTTAGACTCACTGGCGGATAGCCTTGAAAAACCTATTGAAATGTTTGAACTTGCAAAAGTGTTTAAATCATTGAAGAATAACAAAAGCCCTGGCCTGGATGGGTTTCTAGTTTAAGTGTAGCAAACAGAATTAAGAAAACATTAGATACGCTAATACATAGTGGAAATTTGAGAACCATGTATGATATCATGTATGAGCTGAAAGAGCAAAATAGGGCAGGACTTACTTTACTTATTGATTTTGAAAAAGGCTTTTGACACAGTTTCCAAAACATTTATTGAATTGGTTATGAAACAATTTGGTTTTGGGCCAAACATAATAAAATGGGTTAATATCTTAACTAAGAATGCTTCATCTTGTGTAATACAAAATGGACATCTCTCCACTTTTTTCAGAACCAAAGAGGATGCCGGTGTCACGAAATATATTCGCCCCCAGAATAAAATCTCCCCCCGGCGAATTTATACCGGTACAGTTCCGCCCCTCTCGAAATAAACTCTCCCCCACCCTACGAAATAAAATCTCCCCCCAGAATATTTCCTCCCCCGGTCGTTTTATAAATACTTGCCATGCAGTTGCCAATAGTTTTAATGTTAATTTGTTTATGTGTTTTTTTATTCATTTTTTTTTATCTCCTTTATTTTTTCTGAATTATACATTTAGTTACTTGTGTGGGGTGTGGGGGGTGGGGGGTGTCCCACCTTTCCTTTCGTTTTTCATAATAATATATTTTTAAGTTGTATATAACGTATGAATCCCTTCTCAGATTACTTTATCTCAGTTCTATATGACGTACTATTTTACTTTTCTGTGTCGTTCTTGTTTTCTCTTCAGTGTGAGGTTAAACTGTATCATTTTTACTATTTTGATATTTTGCAATATGTTGTGTTCATCAGTTATGCAAATCAGTTTCGGTGTGTCTTTTTAACAAGATGTTCTTCATTAATATTCACCGCCAGCCCCATTGTAACAATTACATGTACACTTTGCTTTGACGATGCCGGTTGATGTTGTTCAATACAGGTGTTTTTGAATCTATTCTACATGCTAATCATTTCGGGAAGATGATACACATTATCTATATTTTGGGTTACTTTGCTTATAAAGATTATACATGTAAACGTACGCAGTCTTAGTAGATTTTAAAGTAGATTTAATCAGTGCTGAATTAGATAGTTATGATGTTGTATGTTTAACAGAAACCTGGTTGCACCATGATATTCTAGCCCCTGGTATTACACTGATACCATTTTCAAATGGTAACCTGTATTAAGGAATATATTTTAGATCTTTAACCAGAGTATAACGGCGTGGATATGTTGACAGTTTTTACGTAGTTAGTGTTAAAACCGAATGTTTGCGAGGATTAATAAGATCTCTGAAATCAGTTACATCAGTAGTTCCGGTGTCACGAAATATATTCGCCCCCAGAACTGTTTCGATTTGCCAATGGAAATACTACACCATAAATGAACTGTTTCGATTTGCCAATGGAAATACTACACCATAAATGAACTGTTTCGATTTGCGCGGTTTCACCAACCGTTCAAGATAACTAATACTCTCTGTCAATGCGTTCAACGTGTAAATGCATTTCATACCTGATATACTGACATGGTCCCAGCTGGCAAACAAGACTTCTAAGAGCTTACTGTTTCGGCATAACTTCATCTATTCATCGGAGGCAACAGATTTTTGCGAACAATTGCGTCATCACTGATTTTCAGTGATCCATTAATATATTTGTACCGCTATTGTCAACGTTCACGCCAAAAGGAATTTTTTCGTTGGAAAATCGAACTTGGTTATTCTCTAGCATTGATGTTTCACATTTCTATGGTTGTTTACGACATGAGTATTGGTTGATAACAACATCTGGTGTCACATGACACAAAATAATATGTGTATGCCTGAAGTAAATAATATTTTATTCAGGAAATAATAGCTAGAATTGGTTACCCGAACAGACTAAATGGTTATATTTCCCTTTAATATAACAGTGTTTCAACACACAAAAATGTTAAACAAACACACGTTTGTGTTTACCGTTATACTTGCCCATGTAGCCGTCGTATACATGTAAATATATAAATGTTGTGTACAGTCATGGGTGGAATTGAATACAATATTGAAATAAGGAACGTGTTCATGAGGCGAGACATTTCAAAACAATATACAATCTAAAGTGTTGAATATCTTCTTTGGTTGACTACAAACTACAGTTTTTACACGTGCACATACCTAAGCTACATCATAAATAATATATATTTCATATTTTTTTGTTATCTATAAATACCCACATCTAAAATCAACCAACATCCCAGAAATACAATTTCACGTAGTTAAAATTATAAATCTACTCAATAGAATACAAATGGATCCCAGAACGATGCTTGATTTCAGGACCAGAACTTAGGCAATCTAGACTTGTCAAATCATTCTTTACTTGGAGTCCGTTTCAAATATATTCTCTAGGATCTGGGGACAGATAGAGTAACACATAGTCAATGAAAACATTTCTTTAAAATATATTTTTTTTATTCGGAAGAACCTTTCTCCTTCTGCTGTTATGGAATCAACTAAACTAGACTTGGTTAGTATGATCTAGACTTGCCTAGGAATTTAGTAAAACAGAATACCTAAAAAATATAAATTCCACAGTCATGGCGCAGGACCAGGCCTAGGAGACAGACTACCGCGTGAGTATTGCATTGAGAACTGACGGAATCCCGCTAGGGTCAGCCTGGGCCAAGTGTAATCGGACATGTTGCTAGGTCTCGAGTTTGAACTGTTGGCATAATAGAACAAGCTTGGGCACAGTGATGCAATAAAGGGGTTAGTTTTCTTCCGGGATTGTTAATGTAGAGATTAAAGCATTATCAACGCACAATTTGTCTGTTTTAATTAGAAAATGTGCTATTGTGATTTCATATTCATAATAATGCTATGCTGTACCAGTACATGGATATTACTTGCTTGTACTCGAGGTACATTGATAACGTATGCTTGTAAAGGCTGGCATGGGACTCGGTGTAGCCGGTGTTGGTTTACTATCAACTATAATCGCCACGCCTATCGTACTTGACATGGAAATAGCCGCTGGAGTCTCTGGACTGGCAGGAATAGCGATAAAATTTATTTCTCGTAAGTTGCCAAAGAAAGCATTAAAACATGATAATATTCGGATACTCGCCGAATGAGTGAGTGAGTTGGGTTTAACGCCGCTTTTAAAAGTATTCCAGTTACATCACGGCGTGTCAGCTTAATGTGGGAGGAAAGCCCGAAGTGATGCAGGTCTCAGACGTTTAGCACTTCGGTGAAACCCACGAGCACGGGTATGGTGCTGACAAACCTAGAAACATAATCGGGGCGAAGCGGGATTCGAACCCACAATCATAGGTTTCTGGCGTGCCCAAGGGAAGCAACTCTGCACAGCGAATCGCGGCGCCTTACACGACTAGGCCACCCGTGCCCCCGATACTCGCCGAAGAAAAGTTGAACAGCATTGAGGATCATATTTCAACAGCACTGGCTGATTGTAAGATATCCGAGGAGGATTTTCGTTCAGTGTTGTCAGAACTCACCAAAATACAACACAATAAAGCAGGAGATTCGATCTTAATATTGTAAGATCAGTGGTATTAGCGAAGACGAGAAAAAAGTACATAGAACAGGGGACACAAGCGCGTCAATTATTCCGTGCCAAAACCAAAGAACTGGTTGGAGATTAAAAAAAGATTGTTTCCTATCATTGGATCGCACCGCAAAACAAATCATACATTCATTTAAACGAATGCTTACATAAATATATAATAATGGAGAATTACAAACCAACAAAGGAAGAACTCGAAAAAGCTATCGAAGCATTTATGCTCAGGGACAAAATTATCAAATGGAGAGAATTACCACAAGGTATATATTATATCAATGATGTCAGACCA